TTGCAGTATGACGTTATCCATTCCTAAATTATGGCGCACCATAGACTAGTTAGCTAACCACAAAGCTAGCTAATGCCACTATCATCGATCTGTTCTGTTGTGACAATAAAAGAAACACATTTCTTTTTAAAATGAGTTATCATATTAATTTAGTTAAAACTCATAAATAACTACAAATTACTAATGTTAGGGAAATAAAAAATAAAATAGGTCACATAGGTTACATATAATCACATTACCCAAAATGCATGTTAAATATGTTTTAACTGGGTCTTGAATGTAGCCACAGATGAGGTATTACTCAGTGTAAGAGGTAGCAAATTCCATAATTGAGGATCATTAATACTGAATGCCCTTCCACCTACAGTAGACAACCGGAAACAAGAGATGGACAGTAAACCAAGTTCAGCTGACCTTAGAGACCATGTGGAGCGGTAAGGGTGGAGTAGGTCAGACAGATATTGTGGAGCAAGACCATTTAATGCTTTGAACGTTAGAAGCAATACCTTAAAGTGGATACGTGATGCTACAGGTAGCCTGTGAAGTTCATAAAGCAGAGGAGTAATGTGTGCAGAACGCCTAGTAGAGGTGAGAACTCAGAAATAAGACCAAGAAATAAGGCATTGCAATAGTCCAGACGTGATGTGATTAATGCATGAATTCGAAGGCATTGTCTGGAGTCTGTTTAGTTATTGCTGTGCTGCAGGGAACACTAGAGACCTTATTCCCAAGTGATAATGTTCAAAAAGGAACGAGACGTCGTTCGACACGGGGGTTAGTTTGCGGTCAGGTAGCTAAATATCCAGCCAGGATATTCTTTAAAACATCTCAATTTGTGTTACGTGCAAGAAAGGAAGCTGTACGCGTTTGGAACGACATGCGAATAAATACTGGAAGAAGTGTAATCCCTATCCCTTTAACAATGGACGATGAGGGTATCTCAAAAGACAGCTCATCATTCACTGTTGTTTAATATGATGTTAGCTCTCTCATTATCACCTAATTGCAGGCTAATTGTGTCAGTGCATGTTAATGTTAACATGATTGGTGCATTAATAAATATCAATTATTTGACTCATTGCATCTGAATAAGTAATTAAGATGCAGATTTGTTTAGTCAGCTATGTCTCACTATTCCACAAATACACACATATGCGCATTTGCTGATGGCTTACTTTCATAGTCTCTTATGTTTCTCTCTCACTGTCTCTCTCATATGCACACAGACGTAGCCACAAAGCTTAGCTATCGACCTCTGACACAAATGGAGTTGAAGCAGGAAATATCAGGTTATCATAATGATCTCTGTTCTTTTCAGATTAGGCAGGGTAGCATATGGCTCTAACACAGGGGAGAGGAATATAATCCAAACACACACATGCACACACGTCTGGTTTACAATCTTTGTGGGGACTCTCCGTAGACGGAATGGTTTTTATACTGTACAAGCTGTATATTATCTCCCCTTACACTAACCCTACCCATAAACCTACCAATCATAGAAAACTTTCTGCATTTTTACTTTGTCAAAAAAAAAACAAAAAAAAAAAACACATTCTGTATGATTTAGAAGCTTGTTTCCTCATGGGGAAGTCCCCACTAGGATAGAAAAAACATGTACACACAGACACACAAAGTCACAAACACACACTTACCCAGTTTGGTAACACTTTATTTTAAGGGGTGTGAATAAGACTGACATGACACTGTCATAAACATGACATAACACCTGTTATGAACATGAAGGAGTCTTTATGAATGTTTATGACTGTTGTCATTAAGTGTCATTCGGTAAATTATGACACTTTTAATGCAAAGTTGACATTGTTTAAAATGTCTTTGTTATGACAACTTGACATTAACTAAGAAATCATAACTAGTCCAATGTTTTCCACTTTACTTGAGGTAAGGGGAAATATTAATGACACTGTTGTTAAAGCATTTGATAGTGTAATAACCCTTAATGACATCTTTATAACTTGTACAATGTTACTTGAGGACAAGTCAAATATTCATGTCACAGTTATAATGGTGTCATGACAACCAAAGTTGAAACTAACCATAACATAATGTGACAGGGTAATGTTAACACAAAGCTAAATAACTTCTTTAAGTTTCATAATTAGACCTGTTATGACATATTTGTGACAGGTTGACAGGTTATGATTTCTTGGTTAATGTCAAGTTGTCATAACAAAGATATTTCTGTCTTGGTTAATGTCAAGTTAACAAAGACATTTTAAACAATGTCAACTTTGCATTAAAAGTGTCATAATTTACCAAATGACACTTAATAACAACAGTCATAAACATTCATAAAGACTTCCTTCATGTTCATGACAGGAGTTATGTCTTGTACACACCCCTTCAAATAAAGTGTTACCTTGAGTTTTTTTATTTTTTATGGGGACTTTCCATAGACAATGATTTTTATACTGTACAAACTGTATATTGTATCCCCTACCCCTAAAACTAGCATTTTGTCCCCATAATGTAGGGTTTACCAGGACACACGCACACACATACAATATCCACATTGAGCAAGAGTCAGTGGTATTGTGACCTTTGTGCAAGAAGTTGCTCTTTCAAATAATGCTGAACATGATTCATCAGACATGTGAAGTATATTCCAGCTTGAGTGCATGCTTTAAAAAAGGAAAAAAGTAAATAAATAAATAGATCAAAAAAAAATTCTCAATCTTAATTTCTATCTGACTTTGAATTTTATTCATTTATTTATTGTTAAATAATCTACAAATGTTTTAAAAAAATTTATACTCGTTAAATTAGAAATATATAAATTAGAATAAAATAATAAGCGTTTTCATTAGTGGTCTTAGACTTTTAGATGTGACGCATCTTTGGTGGATATACTCGGTTTATTTGTGCTTTTGCGTATGCCTTGCGTGCATCTACGTATTTTCCTGATAATAATGTGTATTAGGGATTGTGTTAAGCTGCTGCGGAGTGTTTTCCAAGTGAGGCAGATGGTGTGTGTGTGTGTGTGTAGGTTTAGGGGTTTGAAGGGCTTCAGTTTTACATGAGTCAGAGATCAGATTGACCCATTTCCTCCACAGTCGAATCCAGACATGTGGAAACACGCACACACATTTGGGGTTTGTATGTGTCACCTTTTCCTTCTTTCACTCCCCGTTTCCTACATCATCATGATTCCCTACAGGAAGTGACACGTGTGGTCTTTTCTCTCTCAGCACTGTAAAAGTGAAGGAAGCCTCAGAGTGCAGTGGAGGAATTAAATATGGATAGGAGACGGGGGAGGCAGCACGGATGAGGGGGTCTGCAACCACTCTCTCTCTCCTAATGATGTGATGTGATGTGACAAGCGTGGTGCTCATGGGGGCAGAGTTACCATAGCGATTCCCAACACACCCCCCATCTGTGGCAGTCTCCCATGCACAGCATCCATATTTAATGCAACTTTTACTTAGTGCAGTTCAACTGCCCACCCAACTCTCTCTCTCTCTTTCTTTCTTGTTCTGTTATATTTTCAGAAGTGAGATATATTATACATTTATGGGCTCTAGGTTATAATTATTGAGTTTATGGTAAAGTTTTCCGGCCTGCCGGGGAGAGAGAGGCCTTTAGGAGCTATCATGTATTATCATTCCATGCTGTTGTTTTACTTAAAGCTTTACAGAGTTATTGTAATCTGAACTTTTTTTAAAAACTTTTTTGTCCCACTTTTGTTAAAACCAGAACAGATGTTAACAGTTTCTGTTCGTCCAACTATCAGCAATTTCCCCCCAAAAAAACTTTTCTGCTAACTCGGCTGACAGCTTTAAAGTGTGAGAAATGGCAAATTGTTTTAAACTTTATCGCTGAGAAATGTTTAGCACGCTGGAGGACAATTACTGCCAGTGAACCAAATTAAAGGAATAGTTCATGCAAAAAGGAACATGATTAATTCACCCTCATGCCGTTCCCGAAAACATACACCACTGTTCAAAAGTTGGGTAAGATATTTTTTTATGTTTTGAAAGAAGATTCTTATGCTCCAAAAGGAGGCATTTATTCGATCTAAAATATTGTGAATACAGTAATGTTGTGAAATATTATTACAATCTAGAATAACTGTGGTCTATTTTAAAGTTGAACTCAATCCTCTGATGGCAAAGCTGAATTTTCAGCAACCATTACTGCAGTTTTCAGTGTCACATGATCCTTCAGAAATAATTCTGATATGCTGATTTGCTTCTCATTATATTATTCTCCATATTGAAAAGAGTAATGCTGCTTAATATTTTTGTGGAAACCTTAATTAGTATTTTTCAGGATTCTCTGGTGAATAGAACGTTCAGAAGAACTGCATTTATTGTCTTTTATAACATTATAAATATCTTTACTGTCACTTTTGATCAATTTAATGTATCCTTGCCAAATAGAAGTATTCATTTCTTTTAAATAATATGTATTTTTCCTTGTAAGACTGAAGATCTGTTGCAGGATGTCTTCATGGACCTTTTCTGTAAATGAAATTGAATGGGGACTAGGGCTGTCAAGTTTAAAAAACAATATAATTTTAAATAATTATATAAAAACGCATAATTTGTGCCAGTTTTGATGTCAACGACAATCGTCCTTGATGCATCACATTTGAATATACCTAAACATGAATGACAGAACTTTAAGTAGTTAAACATTTCATTAAGTACAGCTTCAGAAGATTTATTTGTTCATTCATTCATTGTTTATTTTTATTTTTTTAACAGCCCCCATTTGGTTTGGAATAACATTAGGGTGTGTAAATGGGTGCACTATGCCTTTAATGCAAGCCAGACTCTCTGCCTGTGAAGGCTCTATGTTAAATGATATGTTCAATGTTCAGGAATTGATTGACCACTCAGTAATTTGTTATCTGATCCTCAGAGAAAGTCTTACACACAGAGTACTAATTGATTAATGCGATCGATTCATGTCATGTGCTGCGGCCTACACATGTGACTGACAGATATGGTTGCTTGTTCACATGTGTATTTTAGGTTATGAGTGCACTTACAGCTTGGTGATCCACATAAACAGACAAGCCAATGAGAGGATGGCCAGAGGTCACATGGTCTACAGAAGCGCCCACCAGCCGGTACTACTTATTCTACTGAGCGTGCTCCAGCTGGTGCATACGCAAAGTGAGTACACAGGCATCAAAAACATATCAAACAGTGGCAGGATCCTCTGAAACTCAGAATAATTGATGGCTCTTTTCATGAAATGCTCTAGTTCCCCAATCCTCACCAGTGTAAAGGATAAAGGCACACTTTAATGCAGCTTACAAAGTATGTAATTAAAAAATAAGGTTTGTGAACATGCTAAGCAATTTCATAATGCTAAACCAGTTGGATGGATTATTATACTATCCTCCTTTTGTTTCTTTCACTACACCAAATGTCCGGATCAGTGTTTACCAGACAACTGTGCCCTTCGCTGACTACGTAAAGAAATGACGTCAACATTTAATACATGGATTTAATCTTTTCATTCTGCAAAACATTTAAGCAGATAATCAGGCCTGCATTTTGGTTGTAGAAATGCCATTGTGTTTTTAGTTTTATGAAGAATTTGAATGCAGAAAAAATTATTACATTTCATTAAAATATAGTTAATTGTATTAATTTAATGTATTAAATAGATTTATTATGTGGGTGGTGTAAAAATATTATTAAATTATTTTTTATATAATTATTTTATTGTAAACATTGTATTGTTCTCTCTATGGTCTTTGTAATTGAATATAAAATATATATAAAATATAAATATGAAAATGGAAGAGTAGTTGCACTCATTGGCTTTGTTGTACAAATGTTTAGGGCTGGACCCGAATATTTGAATATTTGTTCGGTGGGTTGGTATTCGATTTGAAAATGTGACATTCGACTATTCATCTTTTTTTTTCTCTATACTGACCCTTTTTACCTGTTATTAGCAATCTAAATTAATCTACTGCGAAATATTAATTGAAATTTGTGATGTTGTTATTGAAATTGTTATTGCTACCATGTTCTCTATTTAGGCCATTACATTTTGTTCATTTATTTTTAATTTTTCTTTATTTAAATGTTTTTTTTTTTTAATTTATTTAAATCTGCCCTACTTTGTCAGTAAGACTATACCATTTACTCACCTTCAAGTTGTTCCAGCCCTGTACTGTATGAATTTCAATACTCTGCTAAACACAAAAGATCATACATGTATCGGTATGTTGGTAATGAAACAGTTAATGGGCCCCATTGACTTCATAGTATAAAAATACTATGGAAATCAATGGGGCTCATCAACTGTTTGGTTACCCAAATTCTTTAAAATGTTTTTTGTATTCAGCAGGGAAAAAAAAATCATACAGGTTTGGAACAATTGAAGGGTGATTAAATGGTGACAGAATTTTCATTTTTGGGTGACCTATCCCTTTAACTATGCTTGTGTTCACTCAGTCATTGTTAAGTATGGGTCACCTTATACAAACCACCAATCTCTGTCCTTCTTGGCAGGCGCTCCTCAGTTCACTCGTATGCCCACTGATCAGATAGGTGTTCAGGGCGGCGTCGCCTCGTTTGTATGTCAAGCCACGGGAGATCCACAGCCCAAAATCACATGGAGCAGAAAAGGCAAAAAAGTCACCAACCAGAGATTTGAGGTAAACTCCCGACCCCTGACTGCACATACACAAACTGTACAGTCAGCTTGCTTACACATGGTGCAAGCAGCAAACTAAGGTTGTAACACTACTAAAGTGAGATTCCCATAGTACACTTCCTGTAATTTCACACCTTTGTCCTGGCTCAGTGCACTGACATGGTCTATAAAGACACACAAGCTCAGGGAGTTACTTACACATTTTCTCTGTCTGTAGGTGATAGAGTTTGAGGATGGTTCAGGGTCTGTGTTGCGAGTGCAGCCGCTTCGGACTCCGCGAGATGAGGCTATATATGAATGTGTGGCATCTAATGATAGGGGGGAGATCAGCGCTTCCACACGTCTCAGCGTTCTCCGAGGTAGGTACATGATCTGACTGGAAGCTTCATCAAAATAATTTGCTTTAGCTTGGAGTTCTGAAGCTGTCGAGCTTGCCTGATACATGGCATTTCTTCTATTTTTAGAGAAGTACCACAGAATTTTGGGAAATACCAATTAGAAGTAATTAGAATGATTGTTTTCATGCAGTGACCAATAATCAATATAATGGCCAATATACAGCTATTGGCCAACATTGAATCTACACTCTGATTTTGGAGTAAATTCCTCTATGATAAATCATGTTGCACTTAACTGTATTTTTCAAGCAATTCAAAACCATCATGGCGAACAGTGTCACAGTGTTTGTTGCACGTTTCTGAATTTTTTTTTTTTTTTTAAATATCGACCGATATGTCGGATTTTTTTTTTTTTTTTTTTTTTTTTAACAGTCAGACATACATACAAACCAACATGGTGCAGTAGTGAGCAATCTTGTAAATCCATAATTCCAGAAGTGACAAGAGTGATTTAAGTGTTTGATCTAAGTGTGTATGTGAGCGGGTGTGAGTGTGGGAATGTGTAGGGGAATATCGGATTTTAAAACCAACAAATATTTGTATCATTATCGGCCTTCAAAATCGTTTATCAGTTGGGCTCTACTGTTTAACACTGTTTCACAGAAACAAGTGGATCAGACCGAGAACCAAAACACACAATAGTAGGCAATCATCAGGAGCTAGAGATGCGCGGTTGGTGGTTACAGCTGCGGATGACGTGACGAAAAAATATTTGTATTAAATTCGGGTGGTTGAACCAATCAAATGAAAAATATATTTATACATTGGTAAATATTGTTATCTGACTATACCTACATCCAAAAAAACCCAAAACAAAACAAAACAGTACACTTTGAAATAGTCAAATTTTCATCAGGCAGCTAGTTGAGTCTTGTTATTATCAGAGATGGCAACGTCGGCGATGGCGGACGAATGAAGAGTTTTGTGATGCGGTTGCAGATGAAATAATAGCCCATCCGTGCATCTCTAGCAGGAGAATAGACACCCATGAAGGGGTGCCTGTGTTGCATAGTGTTTGTTTTAGTGATTTCCAATATCAATAGAGGTGTGAATGAAATGTTTGTTTTGTATTCATTAATTTCAGAGGACCAGCTTCCCACTGGTTTCCCTAATATTGATATGGGTCCTCAGCTGAAGGTGGTGGAGCGTTCTCGCACTGCTACCATGCTGTGTGCAGCTAGCGGAACACCTGACCCAGAGATCACCTGGTTTAAAGATTTCCTCCCCATAGATACACACACTCATGGCCGGATCAAACAACTACGCTCAGGTGTGTGTGCTTTGAAGGATTTGCTGTGTTTGTTCTCTTATTCTCGTCATTTGTTTAAAGGTGCACTTAGCTAATTTTCCTCATTAAAAAATAAATAGTACATTTTACAACTATGTTTAATATTATGTACACTGACATGAGATGAAGAGTCATATCAGGAGCTTTATAAAAAATGGTTTAGTCTACACGGAGCTGGTCTCCTCATGGGGACAGCCATGTTGATATCACATGACCAGCTGTGTTTTTACAAATAATGCTAATAATAATGTAGTAAGTTTTCTTCATATATATAGGTATGCACCAATATTAAAATTCTGGCTGATACGATACAGTAAAGCCTATAATTAATAATAATAGTGTTGTGCCCAATATTAAAACGATATACTTCTTTGTCTAAATAAATTAAAATCAATCATCTAAATAAATCATCTTAAATGCTAAATAAAGAATGCATCACAACTAGGGCTGTATAATTATTTTGTATATATATATATAAAAAACACACATGCATGTATATTTAAGAAAAATATATTATTTATACAGTATATAAAATATTTATATTTATTTATAATATAAATTATATGTAAATCTATACACAGTATATACATGAAAATAGTTCTTAAATGTATACAAGCATGTGTATGTATGTGTGTATATATATATATATATATATATATATACACACATACATACACAGTGCCCCCACATATATTATGTAAACCCAAACTTTTATTTTGGATGCGATTAATCATGATTAATCGTTTGACTGCCCTGATCACAACATTATAATGTACAGTATGAAAACCGATATTTTTTTTAAAAATTTGTTAAGGATGTAGAGGATCTAACAGTGCAAGTTAAAATGTAAGCGCTTTTAATGAGTATTTTTAAGTGACTGTTAAATGCCGGTAGATCTAAATGTAACCTAAAAATTGCATTCACAAAATAAAATATCGGCTGATACTGATATATCAAAAAATTCTAGTATTGGACAATAATCAATGTTGTACTGACATTATATATATATATATATATATATATATATATATATATATATATATGAAGAGTTCAGATGCAAAAGCCTCTAAATGCCATTTGAAATTTTCTTCTTTAATGGTGATTTTTATCAAACTTGTATATTTAAGTTCAGTAATTTCACAAGTTTGATAAAAATCATCATTAAAGAAGAAAATTTCAAATGGCATTTAGAGGCTTTTGCATCTGAACTCTTCATATATATATATATATATATATATATATATATATATACAGGGCTTGAAGTTAATTTTTTCGGCCATTGGCCACTGTGGCAGGTGGATTTAAAAATTCACCTGCCAAAGAGACTTTTTACCAGCCATTTTTTTTTTTTTTTGCCTCATAAACGTAAAAAAAACAAAACAAAAAAAAACAGGAATTTCACAATATTGTTCTTTAACTTGTAAGAATACACATTTAAGTGCTGTCAAGTAATAATAACTCTAATAACATACATTTTTTTAAAAAAAATCTTTTTATTCCTTGATTTCGACAGACACACACACACACAACATATATAGTATAGGCTATAATATATACTCAACAGATAGACCTACCGCAGCTCGTAAACAAATCACACGCGGCTGTGTTGATGGCGGATTTATTTAGTCACGTAGGTCTTACTCTTAACAGCTTTTAGTTACAGCGTTCAGGAACGGTTAAATATGAACTAAATTGATACTGTTATTACTGATAAAATTACCGGGTACCGGACATTTTCTCACCGGTTCCCAACTCCCAACATGCACATTGCACACGCACACACATCTGTGCAACTGTCATTGTACTTTAACCTACAACAGCGACGCGTTACATTATCTCATCCCATCTCACCAACAGTTTAATACTCGCACACGTAGTCAGAAAAAGAGCCTCATCTTCTTTCTGATCGCATGAACGTTACGAAACAACAGTCGCTGTCATAAATCAGCCGCTCACGAACCTTGCCATTGCCGCCGATTGTTCACTTTGTATTAAAATGTCTTCTTTACTTTTCTTTTTCTCATCCTCATCTTTTTGTTGGCTGTTTTGTTTCAGCTGGCCTCTTTACCCCAGTAATGTGCCGCCACATTTTAGCTAAAGTCAAACGCAATAGCGGACTTCGTTGAAATGTAAAAATCCTATGAATCACTCACAATTCTCATTGGCTACCTGCCAATGTGGCAGGTAGATTGACAGTGTTACCCGCCAATAGCAAAATTCACCCGCATTTGGCAGGTGGTCGGGTGTTAATTTCAGGCCCTGTATATATATATATATTTATACAGTATATACTGGTGAAACTCAAAATTTTCATTAAAATGTATTAAAATTTTTCGAATTTCACCTGTGTGTGTGTGTATATATATATATATATATATATATATATATATATATTACTATATTCTTTTAAAAAAAAACATAATTAAAAATGTACATGTAAATGTTTTACAGGTCTGTAAAAAAGAAACAAGGAAACCAGAAAATACAATAGACATAAAAGATACAACATAACAGTGGGAAAAATATAATGTCTAGACACTCGGTCACTGCAAGACCAATGAAACAATCCATGTGATTCCATGCCACGCAAACTTGCGCGCAAAACCTCTCTGAGTGCATCTTTAAAGAAATCATGTAGCCTAATGTCCTTTCTCACACACACAGTCTCAAACACACTGTTTCTGCTGTGTGACGACATTAAGTGATAAATGTGCTGTCTCTCTTTCTGTGTTTTAATCTACAGAGTCCTTTGGTAAGTGTGTTATTCTGAGGCACAACACACACTCACTCATGTTCAACCACAAAACACACAAACATGCCGTTATTGGTAAAGCGCATGATATATCTACAGCATAAATTGAATTTCCCCTAACAATATAGTCACCCTCTCTCCACACACATATAGTCAGAACATAGTTTAACACTCAGTATTCACGCACAGTAGATAGTTCTCCTTACCCGAGCGCTGCCCCTCTAACGTGTGGTACTGAGCCTCTCGCTTCCACTCTCACTTACGTTTTCTTGCTCCCTCCTTCACTGGCTCACTCTTTCACTTCTCCAAACACTCACTGCCCTTGGCATTGGATTTCCTGCATCACTACCCCCTTCTCACTCTTTCAGATCTCTCTCTCTTTCTCTCTTTCTTTCTCTTACTTTATTATCTAGATAGGTTTGAATGTCCTAATGCTGAATGTTACAGTGGCTTTCACCCAAAACCGTGGCCTTTTTGGCTTTCCTTTCTCTGGGCTCGAGTCTGCCTGTCTTAAGTCTCTGTGTTCTTCTCCATGAGTTTTATGATCAACTTTTTTAGAAAGGTGTCATCCAGAGGTTGTGCTACGAATAATTGTTATCCGTCACTGAGTGGACTTGGTTGTAGATTTTTCCGTCATGTCCCCCCCAGTTTGATGAGATATTGATATTATAAGAACTTTAATGGAAAAAGTTTTTCAGTAGCAGACTCTTGGCTTTTTGTTTTTATTTCACTCTTTGTTTTTGTAATCTGGTTATTAATGAACAATAATTATAAAGTATTGTTTTTCTCCTCGAATAATTATTTAGATTTCACAGGTGTTCTTTAATGCTATGTTCACACTTGTCAGGTTTGGTTCAATTAAAAAGAAACTCTGGTGCGATTGCTCTTAGATTTGCTTATTCAATGTGGACCAAAGACATGTAAATGAACCCAAAATAGTATGTAATGATGTCACAAGATGCGAGCCTAAAAAGGAAAGAATTCTTAAGCATACCTGATTTTTCTCATTATAGGAGCTATGTTGTTTATCATTTCGGCATAGGTATTAGAAACAGTCTCTCCTCACAGCATTTTTGTTTGTATGCACAATGGAACAATTTCTGGCACTCTTTTGATTCCTTTTCCCATTATAAGCTCTTTGTGAGCTCTCAGCTGGTAAAAATACCATCATATGTATGTATGCAGATACAAGAACCACGTTTAGTACACACAGCATTGTTTTGGATATTAAGTTCCATTTCAGAATATACATGCATGTCATAAAAGCTGTTTTTTTTTTTTCTTTGTTTTGTATCTTCAGGTTGGCTGTTAAAACGCTAAGCAAAACAGGACTAAATGTATCATTTTCTCTTTTGGTTCAGAGACGCCATAGTGTGAAGCAAACTACAAGTGTGAACCTAAAACTTTTTTACACCTTTTTTTCTTTACTTCTAATTTGGGTTGTGCCCGAAGCTTAAATCCAGATTCACAAAGGCATGGAAAATGTATTCTACAGAGCCCCTAAAGGGACATGCTGAGGCTTGCAGCGGTAGTCGGTTATTAGAAAACATCAAATTTCACTGATCATGGGAAGATAGGAGGAGAGATAACTGACAGGACGAGATCATAAGATTTAGTGCACAACAGCTCCCGAGTGTGATTGACAGATATCTTATCTTGTAAAATGTGGTGTCAGTACCATAGATATGTATATAAAGGCTAGATGTGTTACGGCGGAGTTTCCATCGTCATCACCGGCGGCCATCTTGTCACAGGTAAGCTGATGTAAGATGAGTGGTCAGCACGAACACAAATACTCTTATCTCGTTGAAATCTTGACGGATTTACAAACGGTTTGGTTTCTTACAAACGTTATTAACGTGGCTATAGTTATCTGGATGATTATTTATTTATACACTTTTTATTCATAAGTATGCAGTGTCATAACTACATCTCTGACATTTGTAACAAAACAAACCGTTTGAAAATCGGTAGAAAATTGGGCAAGTTATGGTCATTTAAATAGTACATGTACCATTAACATAATGTTACGAGTGAGCAAGCTACCTGTTACAAGATGGCCGCTAGGTGCAGACGTTGACCTCCATTGGCCAGCAGCGTCGACGACATATCTAGCCTTCTTTATATACATAGCTATGGTCAGTACCGCCTCTCCCTCCTCTCAGTGCACGTGATAGAGAATTCGAAAGGGAAAACAAAAAGCGAGCATGCATTCAAAAGTCATTTCAAT